GGGGGGGGGGGTGGACCCTGGCTTGGGCACCACTCCCACGCAGCTCTGGACCCCCATGGATACAGCTGAGATGCCCTGAGCACCTACTATGCACCTGAACTGTGCTTACATCACCCACCCCTACCCCAGCCTGCTATTGATGCTACCTGGCTCACCTCCCTTTGCCACTGTAGTCTGTCCCCCACGCAACTCCTACCCCCTTGGTCAGTCCAGGCTGTTCATACAGAGTCCTGCCTTCTCCCTGGCTGGAAGGATAGTCACATGACCCACATCTGGCCAATCATGGCACTATCACCTTGTCTTTGGCTATTGACCCAAGGGACTTCCACGTGACCTAGTTGGAACCAATCAAATTCCTTCCATGAGATTTGAGGTTTGGACACAAGAAGAAAGTATATCTACCGCTTTTGCATCAAGATCTATAAGATTGTAGGCTGAAGCTTCTCAGGGGCATCTTCCATGGCCCCTGGAGGACCGGGACTGTGGGAGGCCTGGGCACGCAGAACTGAGAGATGGAGCATCTTCATAGAGATAGACTGAGGCCCATACACACACTCACACATGCACACCAACCTAGACACACAGCACCTGGCAAAGGAATCGGCCCAGGCCATGGCTGTTGTCAAGTGTCACCTTCTTTATTGACAAGAGCTAGAGGCAGAAGCAGCAAAGGCTTTCCCTAAGGGGCCTCCCAGCTACCCTTGCAGAACAGGCTCACCTGCCCCAGGAATCGGAAAGGCAGGGCTGGCCAGGGAATGCTGGAACGCCAGGGGCCCTCTTCACTTGGACCCTCGGGTCCCCTAAGGGGGCCACACACTCCCCTAAGCCCTGCCTCCCTGATCCTCGGCCTCTGACCCCCAAGTCCACCTTTGTTGTGTGCTCATCCCCAGGGCCAGATACCAGAGGCTGCAGGGTGAAGGAGAAGGCGTGCAGGCCAAGCCTGGCAGGGGGCTCCCTCCACTTTATAATCCGATACACCCCTCCCCCACCCATTGCAGTGTGTGTGGCAGCTTACCTGGCGTGACTTACTTCCCTCCACAAATCCAAGGAGGCAGGCAAGCTGGGACAACCACCTCCATTTTATGATGGGGAAACCGAGGCCCAGAGCGGTCAAGGCTAGCCAGCGTCTGGAGGTGTGTTGAAGATGTAGGTCTCCCAAGTTGTGGTTTGTGTGCTTTCCCTAGGACTCCTTGCCCTCTGCGGAGTGGAGGGTTGGGGCATTTAGCCAGAGGTACCAACCTCCCGGGGGCCAGTCTCACAAGTGGCTCTAAGGGGTCATCTCTGGGAGGGAGTCCAGGCCAGTCCAGGCCCAGCCTTGGATGGTGGCCTCTCCCTGTGACCTCACTTTTTGTCTTGTTTTCCCTGGGACTTTCCAAGCTGCAGCTCTGGGGAATTTAGAGGGCGAGAGGCCTGCTCCCGACCTGCCAGGCCCTGCTTCTCAGCGTGGTCATCAAGGCCCAGCCCTTCTTACCAGCACTGGTAGGCCTTCAAGGGGGCTGGCCCTGTGCCTTTCAGCGCATCAGGTGGGAACCTGATGGCATCGTTTTCTTGAGACTGGTCGGCCAGGCAACCCAGTTTCATTGATGCAAGACTGAGCTCAGTCCAGAGGGGCCAAGGACAGCTCCAAGGTCATGGAACAGATCTATCCGCCACCCTCCTCCCTGTGCTCCTCCTTCTCCCTCCTCTTACTACCCTCCACTCTCCCCCCCCCACTTCCCCCTCTTCTCAGCACTGCCTCACTCTCTGCCTTTTCATGCCAGTCTGCCTGGGTCAGATCCAGATCCCTGCCTTGGTCACTGCGAGGAGAGGAACAGGGGTAATTGCTCCTATGAGGAGGCTCCCAGGGCTCTCAAAGCCCCAGAGGCTGCTGCCCCCCCCCC